TCTCCCTGCTTTCTTAATTTCAGTATTATGTAGTTGGAATGCTTTGAATACACAAAACAAATCCACATCACTAAATTTCATTCCCAAATAACTTTATTCCAATTGGCTTCTTTAATCTGACCTCTATTTGTCATCTTGTTCCCCTTTTCCCTCTCTCTCTTCCAAATGGTAACCCTGAGGTACCCTATTTTCTGAGTCTCAAACAAGCATCCATTAAGATATTATTCTCAGGACCAGGACACTTTTTCTTTTCCTCTTAATAAAGTATTAGGCAAGAAGATCCTCAGGATCTTTTTCTTTTCTCCTTAATAAAGCACTAGGCAAGAAGTGAAAGGACTTTAAGATCTGGTAGAACTATCTGTAACTTTTCCACTTCATTTACTGAACAAAGAAATGCAATCACATGAAATAGGAAAAGACTGTTTTTAAATTTTAAACATTCTGGGACTAAAAGAAGTCCATTTCCTACAAACAAATTCCTGAGCTACTCCAATACACACTTGTTTGTTAACACCTAAGGAGGGTATAAAATTAAAATAATAGGCAGTGTAGCCCAGTGGTTCCTAAACAGTAGTGCATGATGGAGTTTTCCATCACTAAATGTGAGAATGCACATTTAGCATGCACATTTATGTGTGTGAATACAAAAAAATGAACACATATTTATGTTCTTATAAAACTGCCAACTGCTCTATATTCAAGATTCTGATCATGCTAATTTTTTGGTATAAACTGAGGTTTCTTTTATGAAATGATGGTGATGACAGATAAAATTGATATTTTGTCTTTTTACTTTATGTTAATTTAGCAAAGTAAATAATCTGACAAGTCTGTGAGTTCCCTAATTTTTACAATTATCAAGTTACTAGTTTATTGTGGCTGACTCCTCCCACCTGAACCCCATTCACCTGCACACCCCCCACCTCATCAGTTCTGTGGTGCCACCCTCCAGATGGGCTTCTTTGCTCCTAAGGGTTTATATCTATAATCTTCTTCATAGAACTACCTTGGGCTTCATCTAGGGAGTGACATGTGCCTGGAAGACTGACTGTCTGCCTTTACCAGCCTTCCACCCCATGGTCAAAGACCGGCTAGTGCAGGAGTGTGAGAGCCCAGCTCTCCAGCAACTTTGCCTCCCAGCAGACTGGGACTTCACACGAAATTGCATCCCTGCTTGACTTTTTCCCATTGTGCTTTCCCTACTCCCTTATCAGCTTCTCCCAGAGTATTTCCATACTAAATTGCAAGGAATAGTTACCTCAAGATATTCTTCTCGGTAGCTGGATCCAAAACATCTATGAAATCTCAAAATCTAGAAACCACCAGTTTAGATCTTAAGAATGTCACTCCCATGTCTGCAGCTGCCAATAGCTTATTCTCTACATTCTTGGACTTTTCTTACTTCTTCGAACACCATGATCTTGGCTCATGATCTTACCTTTAAATGCGCTGTTGTCTCTCACCCTTACCTATCCACACTGGAGTCTCACTCAACCTTTACGTCTCAGGTAAGTCACTTCCTCAGGGCCGCATACCTTAGATTCTCCCTTCTGCCAATACATGTTCTTTAGGAGCTCAATGGTCCTACTCCAGACTGGCCTTTAAGCTCAAAAAAGAGCCATCTCTGTCTGACTCTCTACTTGGTTCCCAGTAGTAAACTGGCAGAGAGGGTGTTCAATAAATGTTTCTGATTGTGTAAAAAATTCACCTAAATTTTAACAGTTACTGAATTTGGGCAGAAGAATTATAGATCTTTTTTTTCTTTTTCTTTTTCTTTTTTTTTTTGAGATGGAGTCTTGCTCCGTCACCCAGGCTGGAGTGCAGTGGCATGATCTTGGCTCCCTCACCTGGGTTCTAGCGATTCTCCTGCCTCAGCCTCCTGAGTAGCTGGGACTACAGGCATGTGCCACCTTGCCCAGCTAATTTTTTTTTTTGCATTTTTAGCAGAGACAGGGTTTCACCGCGTTAGCCAGGATGATCTAGATCTCCTGGCCTCCCAAAGTGCTGGGATTACAGGTGTTAGCCACAGCACCCAGCCTAGATACTTTTTCATATATATTTTCCTATTTTTTGTATTTTCTGGCTTCTTTTTGAACAATGAAACATCTATTAATTTCATAATCAGTAAAATTTAAAAAGGCTTTTTCTTATATCTTAATAATATATTGATCACCTTCTTTTCTCTTAAAATGTAATGGTATTTTCAGTATACTAAAGCTAAAAATCAGTAAAGCAAATTAGGGATACAGCCATAAATAAAGTTTTAACTTTTATCACAATCACACACTAGTAACTGTCAGTACCCCAAGAGCATAATTTGTACTTACAATTAGTTATGCAGTGGTTAAGTTTTACACTGGAGAAAAGGCATTACATATTCCACAGATCTCATCCCTAAATCTTTCCAGATTTTTGGAAAAAAGTAGTTAACTTTGTAAGAAAGAGGAAAAGAATGGCAGAGTCCTAATAAAACAATTCTCATATAAGAAAAGATCCGGCAGGGCACAGTGGCTCATGCCTGCTAATCCCAGCACTTTGGCCAAGGCAGGTGGATCACCTGAGGTCAGGAGTTCGAGACCAGCCTGGCCAACATGGTGAAACCCTGTATCTACTAAAAATACAAAAATTAGCCAGGCATGGTGGCACATACCTGTAATACCAGGTACTCAAGCGGCTGAGGCAGAAGAATCTCTTGAACCTGGGAGGCAGAGGGTACAATGAGCTGAAATCATACCACTGCACTTCAGCCTGGCTGACAGAGAAAGACCCTGTCTCAAACAAAACAAAACAAAAGATCCTACTCCAGTATTACTTTTTATTCCTCTTAGGGGGAAAAAAAATTTGATTTTAATTAAAGTATGCTGGCTTTCTGCGTTTCAAAAATGACTAATAACATTATGCCCAATTATTAAGGTAGTTCTTAAAAAAAACAAGTAAAGATTATACCAGCAATCTCCAAGTTGAGCTGAACTCTGTATGTTTTCCGGCAGGCCCTTGGAGGTGTCCCATTAGAGTTGAAGGGACAGAGACATCAGAGGAGCAGCATGTTACAGAGGTAGCAGCTGACCCCTGCCCCACTCCTCCTGCACTGGCAGCTGGCTGTCCTACAGTTTAACAGGTGCCCTGAACTGCTCTCAGGCTAGAATAAGCTCCTAAGAGCAGGGATTTTTATTTATTTTGTTCATTACTCGCTGACACATCTCTAATACCTAGAACAACACCTAGCACATGGTAGGCACTAAAATATTTAATGAATGAGTGATTTAATAAAGTGACATAAAAGTCCTAGAAACTGCTAAGATCCATGAGTAACAGAAAAAATGACAAATAATATGATCAGATAGTTAAAAAAAAGAAATATAAATGGCTTTTAAACATATGAAAAGATTTCAACCTCAGAGATAATAAAAGAAGTTTGACAATTAACATGAGATAACATTTTTCACCTATTAAATTGCAAAAATATTAAAATTTATTAATACACTCTTGGGTGAGGCTTTGGCAAAACACCCATGTACATGCACTGCTAGTGGGAATATAAATAGTACAGACCCTTTGGGGAGAAATTCAGCATTACATATTGAAATTGAAAATGTTAACAATTAAAATTAAATGTAATTAAAAATAAATTGTTAAAATGCAAAAAAAATGTTTAACATTATAAAATTATCAAATTATCCTTCGTTGAGAAACCCTTCTGGAAATGTATCCCAGATATACTTGCACACATGTGAAGTGACTTACGATAAGGTTACTCTCTGCACTAATGTCTATAACAACAAAAGACTAGAAACAACTAGGTGCCCATCAATGGGGGACTGGTTATTAAGTTGGGGTTCATACACACTATGCACTACTTGCAACTGTAGGAAAGAATAAGGAAGCTGTCTTTACATGTACATGAAAAGATCCCAATATATACTACTGTCTGAAACAAAGTGCAGAACAAGGTGATGAGTATGCTTACTTTTGTGTATATAAAAAAATTATATTTGTATTTTCTTGTATCTGCACGAAGAAATTCTGGAAAGATACAAAGGAAGCTGATAAAACTGGTTTCTTTGAGGAAGGAATGGTTCCTAGGCACGAGGAGGACAGGGTACATGCAAGACTGCATTCCATTTTTTTTTTTTTTTTTTTTTTGAGATGGAGTTTCACTCTTGTTACCCAGGCTGGAGTGCAATGGTGGATCTCGGCTCACCGCAACCTCCACCTCCTGGGTTCAGGCAGTTCTGCCTCAGCCTCCTGAGTAGCTGAGATTACAGGCACGTGCCACCATGCCCAGCTAATTTTTTGTATTTTTAGTAGAGACGGGGTTTCACCATGTTGACCAGGGTGGTCTCGATCTCTCGACCTCGTGATCCACCCATTTTGGCCTCCCAAAGTGCTGGGATTACAGGCTTGAGCCACCGTGCCTGGCTGCATTCTATTATTTTTTAAAATTAGGTTGAATGACAAAAACAAGAGCCAAGGAGCTGCTATGCAAAATAGGCTTGTAGGGAGAATGCATAAATTACTTAAAGCAACATTGATTTTTAAATGAATATGCTTGTTTCAAAAACATTCAACTAACATTAAACCAAATCCCCTAAGGACCTCCTCTGAAGTATCACTCATAGGCCTATTGTGAGTTGTTGAAAAGATGCAAAAGTGATAACACGATGCCTGTTTGAAAATATTTTCAAAGTCATATTTCATACTAACTTCTCAGAATGACCCATGTCCCTTTTAGTTCAAATTGTGCTTTTTGATTTTGGTAAATTTTATGAGATGCAAATTCATATGCCATGAATATTATAGCGTGAAGTATTACAGGTATAAAGTCTACATTAAATCTTCATATGAATGATCTTTTTCCTCATCAGGAAACTAAAGAAAATTTTCAAAATTAAATTAATTTAAATTACTTAAATGATTGCTTCCAATAAAAAGATCTTGAATATTAATACAACCAAAACCTTTTGGCCATATAACGTAGGTCATTAAAAAATGAGTCTTACCTTACTTCAGCTGGTGGATTTGGGGAATAGGGATTTGCAGAACAAGCAAGAATTCTAATGACTGCTCCAGGATGATAGGTTTCTAGAACATAAACAGCTGTAGGGTACACCTGTTGTTCAAAAGTAAGTTCCACATAGTCCTGGCTCTGAAAATTAGGTGGCGTCCTCTTGAATGGCAAGGAAGCACTAGGACACTGATCCCACCATGTCCCATAAGTTCGAAACACAGCCGTCTGAGTAAAGTCACCAGAACTTGGGAATACATTTGGTACACCAGCCAAATTCCACATAGTATAGGACATACTATTCTCACTTCCATAATGGGAACTGAAATCCACTACTTCTTTGGCATACTGGACCACCTCTGCATTGAGAGGGGAAGTCCGGCTGTTTGATTCTATGGTTCTATGGCTGTTCATCATCTCTCCTCTTGTAGCTGTCCTGGCTCGGCGCCGAAGGCATATATAATAAAACATAGTCAGAACTGTTAACATGGGAAAGACTGGTGACATCTAGATGGGAATTACGAAGCTTCAAAAGGTCAGGTGTCCTCAGTAAGACGCACGGACTCTTTGAAGGATGTTCTTTAAAAAAATGAATGGCTTGGTGAAGTAAAATAATTTAAATAAGCAGAAAAATGCATGGATAAGGTAACAAACAGGCTCTATCCTCAATGTAATTTCCCAGAATGAAACTAAAAAAAAAGTTTTAAAATACAAATGTGAAGTCTGATATAAATAAATGTTCTAATGTATTTTTAAGAAACCTAAATATTATTATGCATACAATATGGGAAGCAAAACTATATTATAAGGCAATGGAATATATATAATCCCTAAAGCCCTATTTCATACAAAATTATAACCATCATTCAAGAAATACTAAGTCCTTGAATCTGAAATTTAAATTATAGGGTGAGCCACTAAAATACTGCTGTAAATTCAAAAGAATACTAGGCATCACTATAATTTTACATGTTAACAAATAATTCCCTACTATTAATTATTACTCTCTTCCAAACATACTAAATTCAGATTTCACATTATGGGAATATAGTTTTTTGGTGCTGACATTTAATCCAGATGAACTAAATTAACTGCCTTACACATCACAGATCACAGACAGTGTTTAATCTATAACTCTTAGCATTATTTGTTAGGGCAGTCCACGGATGGCTGGCATCTGGTTTGTTGCCAGCGACTATTAGAAATCACTCACCCCAGATAGAATGGTCACAGGAAACACATGGGAAATGCAAAAGCTGGCATTCGTCCATGTACCCTGAAATTTGCATGCTGACTTTAGGTACAAATGCTGACATGTGACATTCTTTTACCTGTAAGACAAGAATTTTGGAGAATATTTTTATGTTCAAGTCAGGAAATCAAAATATCCAAAAATATTATCACTATTAACAGCTACTTATTAGACCTTTCAAATCAAACAGGCCACATTTTTCTATTTTGTATACAATTTTAAAAGATGTTTTTTTTTTAATTTTATGATAGAATATAATAATTTAATAATGAACACTATTTATAGAGAGGTTGCAAACTCATAGCTTTTGCTTCAAACTATGCTTGCATAAATACTTTACTGATGCCAAACAGTGCTTTTAGAAATTTGATCTAGTTTTTAACATTTAACAATCAAGAGGACCCCAAGAGGCATGAGCTCTCCAGGTGGCCACTCTTGTTCACAGCCAGTTCCACTCATTTACAACACAGGTTGGGGCCCAACCTCACTGAGTAGATAACCTTTTCTTGACAAAAACAAGGAACTATAATACAAACTTATATTTGTACCTTTAAAGTCTTGAGTTTAACTTCTAAGGGAGATACACCAACTTTTCTTTCTTTTTTTTTTTTTTGAGACGGAGTCTCACTATGTTGCCCAGCCTGGAGTGCTGTGGTGTGATCTCGGCTCACTGCAACCTCCACCTCCCGGTTCAAGTGATTCTCGTGACTCAGCCTCTTGAGTAGCTGGGACCACAGACATACGCCACCATGCTAATTTTTTGTATTTTTAGTAAAGACAGGGCTTCACCATGCTGGCCAGGCTGGTCTCAAACTCCTGACCTCAGATGACCCACCCATCTCAGCTTCCCAAAGTGCTGGGATTACAAGCATAAGCCACCACGCCAGGCCCTTTTCTTTAATTGAGCAATGCACTAGTCTTCCAAAACTGCAGCACTAAGATTATAAAACATTATTTGCACTAAATGTCCCTACCACTCAAAAACCTCCAATGTCTTTTCCTTATCTACAAGATATAATATAAATTCTTTGTTTTAGTGTTTGAAGGCTCTCTTCAAGCTGGACCAAGCTCTCCTTGTCTAACAGGGCAAACCCAATCAAGTTCTAATCACTCTTTGTGTTTTACGTTAAATATCACTTCCTCTATCATTTCTTTTCCAACCACTTTTTTCCACATCAGTAGCCTGACTTTCTGACACCTACTGGCACTGCATTTTTATGAGATGTATACCTTAGCTCCACTAAGGTTTATATTAGGAATAAGTTTCTTGAAGGAGGAAATCCAGCCAAAGATCTTTATTTCTCAAAGTACACAGTACAAAAAAGGCACAAAATATTTGACAAGGTGATAGAAAGGTGATGAGCAAATTATAAAAATCTAAAATAATCTTAAATTGTATAACAGAATACCTTTTCCTCTCTAACCCAGCCAGATCAAAACACACTGAAATGCTTAAAAATATAAGCACTGAAACACCACTTAAAGAACTAAACTTGAAACAAGTGCAGAGAATCCACAGTTGTAAGAAACTAAGAGAAAAGTTAACCAGCAGAGGTCAGGGGCTGAAGCTAACATGTCTCATGGAACCAGTTACAGGCCATAATGTTACAAGGGGGCTCCCTAACATCCATTCTGAGACATTATTTCAAGACACAGGTCACAGCTGGAAGGACCTTCATAAAGCCAAAACTCTGAAGGGATCACCCTATCCATAAAACCAGGACTATAAAAACTTAGTTCACTGGCCAGGAAGCCCAAGTAGGCATGACATCAACTGAAGCGGCGGGGGTGGGGGGGACAGTCACCAGAGGAAATCAGAACCATATTAGGCATGAACCATGCATAGAGTGTGGGCCTAAATTCACAAAACCTTCATGGTTTAGAATCCCACCCTATCCTCGTGCCAAAAAATGAAAAAAGAAAAGTAGTTCTCAACTGGTAAAACTTTAGGACCTGGTAGGAGCAAATGTGAAAACACTTTGCAAGAATGCTTCCAAAACACAGAACAGACTAAACCTTTATTAATGATACATCACAGTAAAAAGCTATAGACCATAATGGAAAATGAACCATAGTGAGAAACAGTCAGTGTACTCACCAAATGGGGACGGATTTACAGCATGAGAATAAGAAATAACAGAATAAGCAAAATAAGACTTTTTCCAAAGAAGGGCAACAAAGCATATATTAGCAATGGTGGCTCATGCCAGTAATCCCAGCATTTTGGGAGGCTGAGGTGGGAGGATCGCTTCAGCCCAGCGGGGTAGAAGCTGCAGTGAGCCAAGATTGCACCACTGCACTCCAGCCCGGGTGACAGAGCCAGATCTTGTCTCAAATAAATAAATAAGGTGTTTCTGTCGCACACATTTATTCATGAGTGTATTCATGAGTCAACGAACCAGATTCACCTCAGGACATATAATAGCAAGTTATAATTGGGGGAAATATAACCACCTGTTATATCACTCCTTTATTCAAACATTTCACCTACCACAGTGTAAATCTGTGAATTTAAAAAATACATAAGTCTGAAGCTAGAGGATCACTTGAGCCCAGAAATGCAAGGCTGAAGTGAGCCATGATAGTGTCACTGCACTCCAGTCTGGGCCACAGAGCAAGACCCTGTCTCACAAACAAACAAACAAACTTTCTGCAACTCAAGTCTCAATCCTTAACACAAAAATTTGAAATGGTACAGATCTTTCTTTTACCATATATACTTTATTTCCAAATAGTCCTGAAAGTAAATTAAAAATCATTTTCCAAAGAAGTTATTTGAGTCTCCTCTTTTCAAAAAGAAAAAGAATTAACAAAGAAGTTAAACTGCAAAAATAAAATTTAGGAAATAAAGAACAATGTATAACAAGTATTCAAACCAACTGACAAATCAGCTAATTTGGAAGACTATGTATGTTTTATTCCTGGAAGCCATCAAGGGAAGGACAGAAAACCATCTGCCACAGTGGAATCTGTGGACATCACTTCTCACTACACAGTCTATAAATTGTTTCAACTAAGCCCCTCCCACTTTCTTTATAAAACTGTGTTTAATCAAAAAACAAAAGTTTTTTAAAACCAAAGAAATATCTGCAAAATAAGGTATCATCACTCATGTGAATTTTCACAAGCATTCTTGGCAAAAAGATTTGAGACAAATTGTGAAAGTCAAATTGTTTGACATACAAAGCCATAAACTTTTAAACTGTTTCCCAGCTTTTACAATTGTAGATTATAAGGTAATATCAAAGGCAGCAAGACTGTCATATGGGCAATATTATGTTTAAGCTATCTTAAAGTTAAGCAAAATTTTGCATTGAGGCAACATATGTAAAAGTGAGTTATAAACTGTAAATATATGTTATATGTTCAAACTTCTTTAATATAGAAATGTAAAATGGATACTTTAGTTTTTTCCAGCTATGGATAAAAATAATATTTAATGCTAATTTTTTCATGAAATAAAGTTAAAAATGGCAAAAGAAATTTTTAAAGGAAGGAAAAGCAGTATATGATACACTGAAAAAGCAAATATTCTTTTTCCACCAATGCTATTCAGAAAATTTTGTAGAAGTTAAAACCTGTTTTTGAAAATAAGCAAGGCATAGACATAAAAAAGAGAAATGCACAAACCCATTGCTAACCTCTTTCACTGATTCTAAACTCCTTTCCAATCTACTAAAATGACACATAAAAGTGTTTTAGGGATGGGGAAGAACATATGGAGAAGAAAGGATAGTTCGCTCTACTTTTCCCTGGGAAATGAAGCTGAAAAAGGGAATGGAGCCATTGTCTCAGGACTCATGTAGGGAACAACGACCAATGCAGAAGTCCAAATTGTCTAGGCACTATCTGGACTTCTGCCAAGGCATGGAGGCAATTTGTGGTAACCAATGAATATCCCAATGGGCAATGAATGAAGTGTAAAAGATACAATAACTTTATTTTATGAGGAGAATAGGATTCAAAGATAAAATGATTTTTCCCACCTGGTGCAAATAAATAAATATTAGTCAGAAACACTAAATTTGTCCAAAAGAGTGATTATAAAATGTACCTTCTGGGAGACATTTTCTTATATTGTTCATTCAAAAAGTGATTTTAAAGACTAACAACATATAAAAATATTATTTTCCATTGAAAATAAGTCAGAATTAGGGTGGCCTTCATATCATTTGTTGCCTAATTCAATCAGTTATCAACAATGACTATGAGAGTTTCTACACTGAACATTTATACTAGCACAATCAAGGAATACCAAAACAACAGCCATTTTAACTTGTGTCATCAGACTTTCATATTCCTTGGGAAACAACTTGCTTTTATACAACATGATTTTATTATGATACAACTTTATTTTCAACCACATCTTCCATATTATAAAATGCTTAACAAAGTTAAATAATACAATTACAAAGAAAGCAGTAACAGTGGAAAAGAGAAATTAAGAGGTATAGACAAGGGAGAACATACATTTACTACTGAGATTTGAAGTGAGATGGGGAATCAATGAGGCGGAGAGAAGCAGGATGGCAGGAGCTGCCGAGAAAGCGCCTTGTACTTCGAAGGGAAAAAGAGGAAGGAAAAAGACTTTTCATAAAATAACCAAAGGGAGCAATCAGAATGAACTAGAGTCAGGACAGTGTAAAGGCTAGGTTCACAGTGAGGTGAAACAACCTGAAAACAAGTTTAAAACTCAAAAGAGGATTATCAACTTATATTAAAGTTAAAAAAGCATGGAAAAACATAAAAAAGTAATAGGGCAATAGGCACAAGCACATATAGAAAGCAAATTGTAACACAGTATTTACTTTCAAAAGAGCCCAAAGAGAAGTATCAATGAAGTCACAGAAAAAGAAAAGTTTATACAGCTTTGCTACATAGTACCAAAATGTAATTACAATGCTCAATGTGGTAATAAATCAAGAAAAAAGGCCAAAGCTTAAATGCTTATTATTTCTGAATCCTGCCAAAACTGATCCAGACATACTATTTTGAGGAAAGACTTTTCTGGCTGAATCCAGATATCAGAACAGAATGAAAGAAAGCATCAACGGAGAAAAGAAGGGAATGATATATGAA